AGTGAATAGGCTCTCTCAAGTCTCGATCAGCAAACAGTGAGGACGCAGTCACTGGTCCACAGCAACACCACTCCTCAGCCAGCAGAAGTCTCTCTCCGGCCCTCAGCCTCTAAACCATGTGGTAGCCAAGCCTCCCTTCAGTCCTCAGTCTTTCAGCCACATGGTCCCTTGGCCTTTCTTTCCATGGGCTAGGAAGCCAGCCCACCTGTTGCTGTTTCAGTCACATGTAAGGTCCCCCATAGTATCAGCACTGCTCCTCTGAGTCTCTGTGCTATCGGGTCTCAGCAGCATGCGCCACGCAGACGGAGCTTGGACATGCTCTGAAGAAGACATCCTTATAGCCAGGAGGGGAGGTAACAAAAGCTGGCCAATTCCCTTTTCTTAGTGTTACTCATGCCCTAGTTGCCTTTTCCTGTCCAATCATTTGGTGGGAGTTAAGGAGAGTTGAGTAGAAGAGCCATGCTAAGAAATTTCACTCCACCAGTCTTGAACGATGTGGCATCCCCTTGTTTTTTTGTGTAGTTAATGCTTAATAAGAGGACAAGGGGTTAAAGTAAGCATAAAACATCTTCCAATAAAATTTTTTTCTTAAGAGTAATTTCATAAGAATGCGGCTTGTTAAAGTATGAAACCAATCATTAGGAAATTCCTACCTTCATGGAAAACAATCATGTTGAATTGTTGACTATATTTTTACAATTAAATTACTATTTTAAATTTTAAATGCTGGAAACAAATTGAGTACATTGGAACATCATTAAAATTTCTATATCTGGGTTGAGCAACTGCAGCCGCAAGCGAAATGCTGGTGGCTGTGGGTCCTCATGGGCAGTCCCAAGCAAGCTGCTTCGACCTTGTGAAGATGGGCTTTGTGACGGGTTGTGCCGTGGGCATGGCGGCCAGGGTGCTCTTCGGCACCTTTTCCTGTCTCGGGATCGGAATGCAGGGTCATGAGCTGATGTGCAGCATTGGAAAAACCATGATGCAGAGTGGCAGCCCTTTTGGCACATTCATAGCGATTGGGATGAGCATCCGATGCTAACCGGTGCAGTGGTTGCCTCATATGTCTACTCTCTCCCACCAATTGTAACCCATGGGCTATAATAAAGTCTTTGGTTAAAAAAAAAAAAAAAATTTCTGTATCTAACCTTGGTAAATTTTAAATAAAATAGTAAGCATTTTTACTTAATTGTAAACATTTCTAATAACATAAAATTTTAATTGTAAAAAACTAATAAATCCATATGCTGGAATAGATGTGTGCAAACATACACAAAAATAACAACCCACCTAGAACATAAGAATATACAAGAAAATTAAAGGGCTGCTGGACAAAGGGTAAATTAAACAAGACTTACTTCTGATTTTTATATCTTTCAGTATAGTTTGGATTTCTAAGCAAATACATTAATGAAGTACAGTGTCTTTGTGACATATTAAACATTTTTAAGATTTTAGCTGGATATCAATTGATTAGTGGATCGTCCCTTAGATTTGTTTCTTTTTTGGAAACTCCTTTTTCCTAGATTCCTTTCCTAGGTCACTGGCCCACTGTTATCCTCTTGGGTCCTACACACTATTTAGTAATGGTTACTTGCTGCTGCAGCTGCTGTTGCTGTTATTGTTGTCAGGGGCTCTTGAGCCAGTTCTGACTGATAGTGACCTATGTACAAAAGAACCCCGCATCAACCGGGGCTGCACCACCTCAAAATCAGTTGTGTTTGAGCTCACTATTGGAGCCACTGTTTCAGTCCACCTCACTGAAGGTCTTTTTGAACCTCACACAGGGCTCTCAATGACCTCTTAGAACAGTCTGCAGCTTTGCCTCCTTCCCTCACACGTTAACTTGGGAACAGAGGGTAGACTTCTTATCTGAGTAGAATCACAATTCCCTCCTAAATTTTTGGGGACTGCAAACTATGAATAATCCCATTTTTACCCTTTCATTTTTAACCTTCCCCTCTACCCTTGCTTGGTCCTCTGAGCACAAATTAAATGCTTGCTCTAAATTATCTTGTAGCTTTCATCATGCCTCTCCTTCTACCCAGTGCTTTAAACAGCAGTCTTTGTAACTCCCCTCAAATGATGGGGAAGAGCATGAAAATAGGGTGTATGAGACTCATACATGAAGGGACTGGTCAGTTTTGCCATTCCATGTATACAAAGTGAGCTATCACAGTTAGGAAAGAGGAATCTCCCGGCCCTGAAAATAGGCAAAAGTAGAGCACATCCCAAATCCCTAGATGGAAAAGTGGTGGGGTGGCAACAACAGAGGCACCAAGACCATGAGACAGGATGGTAGGTTTCTTGGCCTACTTGAGCGCCTTCAAGTGGAGGGTCTTCAAGCAGGAGGTTGGCTTGCACAGTGATAAATACCCTTTCAGTGTTTACCAAAACCACCAATGAATGCCTCTGCAGGAGAAAGACTGAAGAGTTAGTCTTGGAAACCCCCAGAGGCAGTTACACCCCCATCCTACTGCGTTGCTAGGAGTTGAGAATGGACTCACTGGCAGTGAGCTTGGTTTTTGAGTGAAAGGGGCTTTTTAACGCTTGCCCAAGCAGGGCAGAGGCCTTGTGACCGAGGACTAGAGAGATGTGCCTGCAGGCATGTTTGTGAAGCATTGGGCCAACAAAAGAACTGGGCATCCTTAACTTTTCTAACCCTGATTTATAACCTGTTGCTTTCCCAAACAGGCCCCCCCTTAATCGTGAATGCTGGCTGAAGTTCTGCCTGGCCACTGCAACAGATTACTGACCCCTGCAGAAGCAGATGCCAGTGGGAGGGATAGCTGCAGGGTAGAGGCTTCTCCGACATTACCAGAAGCACATGGAAAACCTATCAAACTCAAGATTGCTTTGTCTACCATCCTTACATTGGATCAGGATATAAAGGTACATGTTCTGAGAAGATGCCGATGCTGCTGGTTAAAGGACCATTTTGAGAACTCATGCTCTAAATATATGCTACCTCTTCCTACCTCCAGGCTTTTATAAAGTTTCTTCTCCTAGAGGCCTCATTAACATTTCCCCAACTCTGCCCAGGAGCCCTGGTGGTACAATGGCTAAGCATTTGGCTGCTAAACAAAAGGCCAGGGTTCAAACCCATCAAATGCTCCGCGGAAGAAGGATGCGACACCTGGCTTCCCTAAAGATTACAGCCTTGGAAATCTTATGGGGCAGGTCTGCTCTGCTCAATTCCCACCTTCTTCATAAAATTTTCTATAACCCTAGATCAAACTATCCCTCTTTCCTCAATGCCTATCAGCGTTCTTGAATATCAGCCGTATACTACTTACACTCATCACATGCTACCACCTTAGTTCAGTTATTTGTATTCGGCCAATTTACTTCAATGTAGACAGGAAATTTTTGTTAGTTATAATACCCTCCACAACAGAGACCCTACTAAGCAGTGAACAGGAAGACAGAGAGTCTGTAAGCATTTACTGATGTGAGTAAATCCCTGATGCTGCCCCTGATCTCTGGGCCCAAGGTCTGGCTGACCATGCTAACCCTGTTGGCCTAAGGTGACTTCCTTCCGCTGCCTTGTACTTTGCTCGCCTTACTAACCTGAGTTGGCTGACCCTCGCCTTACTAACCTATGAGAGTTGCCAGCGCCACTCTGTTGGCTGGTCCTAGGTAGCTTCTTTATCTTACACTCCAAGCCTTTTTGAATTTTCTAATCCACTATCAGACATAATGAGTGACAAAATTTTATCTTCGCAGCTGATGTGAATTCTACCATTTTACACAAACAATGCACGCATTACATAGCTTTTATAAAGCAATTCCCATGTGCATTAGTTTCCTTTGCATGGTATGTGCATGGGCACGTTTACTTGTGGTTAATTCTGCAATATCCCATAAAAGTCTTTACTTGCTTTGCCTGGAAGGAGGGGGAACCTTTCTTTGCTACAAAATCTGAAGTAGAATGTTATGAACAAGTGCAGTTATCTCAGAAAGCAATACATTTGTCTTAAGTTCTATTTATAGATCATGAAGGCTAAGCTAATTTTAATAAAAAGCCTAAAATCCTGGAGACATCATACAAAGAGCAGCTCACTCTGCCCTGTAGGATCACTCTGAACTGGAATCAACATCCCAGCAGTGGATCTGTTCTTGAGTTTAAAACTTAAGTTTTAAGTTATCCTAAGAAACAGAGTTTAAAGTTGGTAACTGCTTATACACCATCTTCATATAAGCATCTAGAACAAACCCTCGTCCTCTATGCCAACAACAACAGATACAAGGTAAAACCTGACTTTTAAAACCATTTGGGATGACTGAAAATTTTAACTAGGTTTCTAAATGTCCCTATAAAATTTACTCCTTCAAAAAATATTTGATTTTGTTTTAAATCACAAGGAACTAAATATGTCCATACTTGATTAATCCTTTCCTCCGTAAGGCAGTAACACTCCAGTACTCTATTTACTTAACGACCTAGGGGGGAAATTGTAAAAGCAAAATCATCCACTTACTTATCATTCACAACTGACCTACAATATGTAGTTCTGATAACAACAGAAAATCCCTGGGACCTCATCACTGACAGAACTATGTGCATGTGTGTGCACACATTGTTGCTGCTGTCTTATGTACAACAGAACAAAACGCCGGATCCTGCGCCATTCTCCACATTATAATTCTATTTGAGTGCATTGTTACAACCACCGTGTCAATCCATCTTATCCAGAGTCCCCTCATATACATATCTTTCCGATCAGCATGGCCAACAGCTTACAAACTCCAATGGTGATGGGAGGAATGACAAATTTAACTCAAGGCAAAGTACGAAAAACATAACTTTTAAGGGAGCAACTAAAATTAGTACCCGTTAGAAAAGGTCTTTGATAGAGTCAACTCAATCTCGTAAATATTTTGAATAATACTAAAAAATGTCATGCCAAGATAAAAATTTGATAGTAATACAGATTTTCAAAAGGGAATAAAAATTTTCCTAACTGTATGCTCAACTAACTAAAAAGAAATGAACCAGACCACCATACCCAAGTCAAATATCCTTGAGTTCATCAATATCCTATATTGGCATAAGTTTGCCAATAAGTCACCGGCCAAGTGGAGCTATGCTTTATACTTCCAATTCAGCAGATTCCAACAGCCCTGAAGCTGAGGAGGTACACTGTCACTGCAAGATACACAGGTCTTGAAATATACCTAGGAGACGACTCTCTAAATTCAATCTGTTGTTAAAAGAAAAAAGAATAGTGTGGAGAAGGTATCATAAAAGGGAAATATCTGGAAACCGGACCATTCTGTTAAATAACATAGAAACGACAAGAGGTTAGAAACAGAGTGTTTATTAATATAGGTGAAAACAAAGTATTTACTGTAACAAACACGACACCTTCAGGTAAAATACGTGCAGAAGGAAGTTTCATTGAAGCACACTAATCTGCGATTCTCGACTCCAAAAGATGATGCCAAGAAAAAGAATGTCCTATAAACAACTAACATTTTTTCTAACTTGTCTTCTGTAAAAGTCTAAAGACGCCTACATTTTAAGACTCCGGGAACCTCAAGTTGTCTGAGCCACCTTCCAAGTTAGAAGGTTAGAACTTAACTCTAGACGTCAAAATCACTAATCATATATTAACTCAGTGCCTAATTTGTATTTTAAGTACACCATTAAGCACGCCTAATCATTTACTCTGTATTTTCAATAGTGGCTGGCTGACCTTTTCCTGTTTTGTTTTTAATAGTCTATTTTCTTCCCCCACAATTGCCACTAAACTGATTCTGAGTTAGAATCCACTTAACGTTCGCCTTCGCTAAGCCATCGCTCCGTGTTGAACTATTCGAATGTTACATATAATGGGGAAGGCGATTAAAAAGTGCCAAACAGTCGAGGGGGGTGGGGAAAGAGAATCGTCGGTCCACTGTGGAGACTGCTCGGGGAAAGCCTAAAACTCGAATCCCACGTTCGATCACCTGATACACACAAAGGAGCCCGGCGAAGCTTTCTACTATGTTTACACCTCTGGATCACACAGAGGAAACGACGCCCGGAGCTAGAGAACC